CTCTAAAACAGACTCAAGATGGCATTGAGATTTTATTCCTCTATTTTATAGGTGAGACAATTGAGATCCAAAGGGAAGAAATGGCTTGCTTAATTCATGCAAACACTAGTTGTAGAGTCAGAACTAGAACCCAGTCTCCCCACTCGTTATAGAAACACATCATGATTCCACATAAAATCAGACAGACCCAGACTTTGCTATACACTTATGGCAAATGAGAGGCTCTTTTCCACTGGGGTTGCCCAGCTACTGTAATGTATCCATGGCATTGCTGGGTCTGCTGGATAGGGCTGGGCACTGGGGGAGTGTAGTCTACGGAGAAAGCCTGCCTGAGAGTGAAACTATTGTAGTGGAAGGTGTAAGCCAGGAATGGGGACTAGGACTCAAGAACATTTGAGCCAATAACTTGTGCCTGAAGCTAGTACCACCTCTTGGGTGTTTCCACGGCACAAGCTTGTCGATTTTCTTTTTATCTAAAGCTGGAGGGTATGGGGGTTTTCTGTCACTTGCACGCAAAATTTCTGAATATGCCAAGCATCTCTACTTTGCAGCAGGACCAACAGGATTCAAAACGCATGGTTTTATTTTGGACAAAGCCAAAAAAGGTTCCGGGAAACTCACCAGGACTGGTTGAGTGGTGATAAAGACATATGAAGAGTTTCTCATGTTTTTTTTCCCCTGGAAATTTTAGATCCTAAGTCATCAGTGTGATTGTTTTTCTTTGCTGACCTCACTGCATTCTTAGAAAGGTAAATTATATCAAAGGAGACTGTTAAGAAAACGTGTGTTACGTACTGGTAAGGTTGTGTCATCTTCAGTACAATGGTGTCCTCACACTCTCCAGGGGCAGAATAGGGAGTGAACGTGGCTTGCCTGAGCAGCTTATGTCCTTCGCTTTTATGTATGTCATCTATATTTCAACCACATAGCAAATCGGCAAAGAGTTCTCATGTCTATTTCACAGGTGATACAGAGACAAGGAGGCTGTGCTACTTGTCTAAAGTCACCCAACTAGTATGTATATTAGCATTGGAACTCAGTTCTACACTTTTGCTTTTAGGCTAGAAATACTTGTATCCTGTCCCAACCCAGTGCTGATAAACTTCCCAGGAACTTCAGGACACAACAATTTTGACTGAGACATTGGCTTTTAAACCGCTTTCATTTGCCATGATGAAAGTGTAATGTATTAAAAGGGCATAAATGTGCAGTTTTTCAACACATTCACCACACTAGTTGATATGGCTTGGCTGTGGCCCCACCCAAATCTCATCTTGAATTGTATATCCCATAATTCCCACATATTGTTGGAGGGAACTGGTGGGAGATAATTGAGTCATGGGGGCAGTTTCCCCCGTACTGTTCTCATGGTAGTAATTAAGAGATCTGATGATTTTATAAGGGGCTTCCCCTTTGGCTTGATTCTCATTCTGTTTTTGCCTGCTGCCTTGTAAGATGGGCCTTTTGCCTTCTGCCATGATTATGAGGCCCCCTGGCTGCGTGGAACTGTGAATCCATTAAACACCTTTTTCTCTATAAATTATCCAGTCTCAGGTATGTCTTTATCAGCAGCGTGAAAACAGACTCATACACTAGTTTTTGCTCAGAAAAATTTGTTTTCTTCCTTCCTTTCTGAACCATTTTAACCCACATTTTGCTTCTGTTTGAAGCATAACAAACCCAAAATGTGTGAAGTGCCCTCATCTCAAGTATACAGCCCAGTGATTTTTAAACATCTTGATATCCATGATTCATCACCCAAATTATAAAACATGTCTAGCCACCTAGAAGTTTGTCTATTTGGTACTTGTTCATTCCCATCCAGAGGTAACAACTAGTGGGACTTCAATAATTGTCACTTAACTTTGTTCTTGAGCTTATAAATGAAATTGTACAGTACACATTCTTTCAACATCTGGGAGATTCATACCTTACGTTGTATGTAGCAGTTTTCTATCACTGTTATATAGTCCATTGGTTTTTTTAGTTTTTCTTTTTAGACAGTCTTGTTCTGTCACCCAGGCTGGACAGCTCACTGCAACCTCCATTTCCTGGGCTCAAGTGATCCTCCCACCTCAGTTTTCCGAGTAGCTAGGACCACTGGTGCACGCCACCACATCTAGCTAATTTTTTTTTTTTTTTTTTTTTCGTAAAAATGGGGGTCTATGTTGCCCAGGCTGGTCTTGAATCCCTGGACTAAAGCCATCCCTTTGCCTTGGCATCCCAAAGTGCCGATTATGTGAGCCACTGCGCCCAACTCATTATTCTCTTGTATCTTCCATACTTATATTTGTAATGTTTCATATCATAGACTATTGAAAGTGAAAAGGGATTTTAGGGATTATCTAGCCTATCAGCTTCTGCTTACTGGGAAAACACAACAGTGAGGAATGTATCTTTCCCAGCCAAGGTACAAGATACATTCTCTTCCAACCTTGTGAGGGTAGAGCCCTCATGAATGGATTAGTGCCCTTATATAGGAGAGATATCAGAGAAATGGTCTATCCAACACATGGGGCTACAAGACAACCATCTGCAAACCATAAAGAGAGCACTCACCAGGAACCCGATCTGCCCGTGCCTTGCTCCTGCACGTCCAGCCTCCCTAACAGTAACAAATGTCAGCTGTGTCAGTCAGTCTGCGGTAGTTATAGCAGCCTGAACTGAGACATCTTATACTTCCATAAATATCACTTGGCATATACTTCCAGAAGTGTTTATAGGGAATGTTAAATATTTATACGAAAGCATAATGGAGAGAAGACAGCAGCTGATAGAACTCAGGGAAAGCTGGGGAGGCTTAACCTAAACAAAAAGCTTATTGGCAGGACCTCTGAAAACCACACGAGCAGCCTGTTTACAGTTCTGAGAAGGACCCTCTCATCTAGCCGCGCTCTGAAAGGCCCTGGCACCACAGGCCTCCTTCCCTGCCGGCCTCTTTCCCCCATGTCAAGCACTACAGTGGCTTGAAGGACACTTACTTCCACGTTTTCTCTTCTTAAGACTTCAGGTCCCCGAGAAACCTTCCATCAACTCCTCAGAATATGGCCTAACCCACACCACATTCTGGATGCCCATGTCTTCTGGCTTTTTTTGTTTTGGGTGGTAGTTTAGAAGGAGGCATCCAAGGCAATGGATTTTCCCTCCATTTCTGAACTGGGAGGCTCGCAGACAGCCTCAGAGGTGAGCCCAGCAGCAGAGGCATCCTTGGACCGGGAGGAAACCTTATTCACGCATGGGACTAGGTGGGCAGAAAACTAGTCTTTCTGTTAGCAGCAGGTTAAATAACCATCAGCTGTATCTCAAGTTAGGCCCTGAAGGGCTGGGCTTGGCCACAGGTGTTTCTACCATGGAGAAATCACTTTTTGCTTAAGATTTCTAGTTCTGTTCCTAAAATCCCAAATTCTCACCTGTGTTCAGATGGTAAAGCTCATGAGTTGTGAGGCTTACCTTCTCTGTCCTGGAGAAAGACCGCTATCTGGTTTTTAATCTAGACAGATCACATTAAACTTAAAAGCAAGTGTTGAGACTTCATATTGATTTGTCCATAACTTAGGTAAAGAAAGTGGTCTTAAAAAAAAAAAAAAAAAAAAAAAGTGGTCTAAGTCCTTATTATTCATGGAGCCAGCAAATCCACAGCATCGCCTGGGAGCCTGTTAGAAATGTGGGCCCAACCCCAGACTTACCAAGCCAGAATAACACCCCCAAGAGATCTGTATGTAGACTACAGTTTGATAAACACTGCCCTAGGAGCATTCAGATAAACAAACTAGAGCTCTGAGAAAAGTGTGTTGCTCAGATGAACATTATTTCATGAACTCTGTGTGGGGGTGAATAATGATCCAAAGACAAGAGGCTCAAACAGCTCTCTGCAAGGCTTGCTGACTCAAAAGTATCTCCTGCTTAGACTGCAGTGTGCACACAGCACCCAAGTTACTCAACATTCACTCACCATGTCCCCAAGTTCTTTCTCCCCACAGTGGTTGAGAGCTACTAGGGGAGATAAGGCATCTGTTTTTGTCTTCATCCCTATGCTTCTTTCTAGAAACATCTGAGGTTGCAATGATGAAAAAATAATTTCATGGTATCTGGGTTAATTACAAAAACCAAACTCTCCTACTATTTGTTTAATTGTGGAACTCACACACATACAATAGGTTTCTGAATGAATGCTAATTCCATTCTTTTATTTCCTCATACCACAGACATTTTAATTTATCTGCCTTTTTACAACCTGATTTACAAAAGCAAATTGCAAACGAAAACCAGGCATTCTTTAATCACCCAAAATGCATGTATAAAATATAGAACAAACCCTAGTGTTTAAACATAAACAGGGTTAGCTTAAGCAGCTTTATTGCAATCTCTTAAAGGTAGCATATTACAGTTTAAATATTTATGCTTGTAAAGGTCTGCATAATCTACAATACATAGTTATTTCAGAAGCAGTTAGGACTTTAATTGAAAAAAAAAAAAAAAAAAACAACCAAAAAAAAAAAAACAAAAAAAAAAAAAAAAACCCAAAACCCAACAAAACTTCAACACAAAGCTGTAACAATTATCTAAAACTTATTTACAATTAAACATTTAGGGTTCCGATTCATAAAACTCAGTGCCTTTCATGATTTATGAGTTTTATAGAGAAAGTAAGCAGTATGTAGAATATTCCCCAGGTAAAATCTAGGGTGAATGGTTTTTAAAAGAAAGTCCATCAATATGCTCGCTAAAAACTAAAGAGTAATAAAACTGTATACAGCAGCAATCAGAGTAACAGGCCACAAGAGAAGCATGAATACCATTTTTGACAGAATTCTTTGTATGTATAGGAAGAAAAAACGATTGACCCCCTGCCAACTTTGTTATTTAAAAAAAAATTGTCCCCAATAATCACTAAATTGTGAATTCTGGGTGATAATCTCCCTTCTCCTTAGAGTTGTGTTTAAGCTTAATGCCTAAACCAGCAAATTTAAACAAAAGAAAAGTTCCTTTGATAACAGCCATCAGAGTTCAATGGCTATTTATTCAGAGGGGAAAGCTTGGGGCAAGCTGACCAAGGGGTTAGCTCTTCCAATTACAAAAGAAACATCATAGATAAGGTGCTAGAAACCCAGGATAACCCTGGAAGCACTTCAATGGATTCAAGTGTTTAATGTACACAACAAAGGAACTGACAGGAAATTATGGAAAGTGTTTTTAAAGTAAAGAAAGAAATTACAGCAAATCAGGTCCCAGGTAGTCTTTAAAAGAACTAAAATTTACAGTAAACATTTTAAACTCTGGAATGCAAGTATTGTACAATTACCAGTACATTACATTTACAAAATTGCTTAGACAGTATTTGCTCCAGAGTAGGAATTTAAAAAATGTACAAGCCGGTTCACAATGACTTTAGATATGTTATTAAAATACATTGTTAATCAAAAATACTTTACTATGTACATGTACACTGTATAAACTCTAGATTTACCTACCAAAGAAAACTTTAATCAATTCCTGGCTCACTGGCCCAGAAAACAGTACAGTTCTATCATTTGGTCTTCTTATCATACACAGAGGCTGAGAGGCATGGTGCTGCAGCCAGTTTGTCAATAAAACAGTGATGCATTTTTCTTTCTGTAGAACGTCTAGTTGGATGAGTCAGTTTTACTTCCACTGTATTTTACTTTCCTAAATGCTGATCCAAGTAACTCTGGGCATTCACATAATTCATTTGCAATTTGGTTACACTTCAAAATAAGGCTATAATTCATTCCATCAGTTATGACACTGTCTTGCTTGTAGTCGGGATGGTTTGCGATAAACTCCCTCATCCATCTAGCAACTGTCATTAGTTCTCCTGTGGGAGTGAAAAAAAAAATTAGAACCACATAACAGAAGTTTTTTTTTTTTTTTTTAAATAAGTTGATTTAGTGGTCAGCATAAACACAATTCTGAAGAGAAATCAATATGTCCTTTGGGTGTAGCCACATGGCAGGGGGTGGGAACATCTTTCATAGTGCTTGAAGGACTCCTCCTGGGCAAGAATTTTAGGTTGCAGGCAGGCAATGAGAACACATTCATCCAGTTTCTATGGTACCTGTTAGATGCCACCTATATGCCTCCACTGCCAGCTCTTAAGGGATAGGAGCCAGCACATGTGTACAAGAGCATGTGTCCTCCCATTTGGCCAGAGGGCTAGGACTACAAATGCCAGTGTCATGAGACTGCCTCAGAGGACTGTAGGGTCCCTCGAGCGATCTTTGATCAAAGAGGTGGAGAGAATAAAGAATAGTAAGTAGAGTGAATGAAGAGGGAAATTGGCAGTATACCATTTGACGGGTGAGGTGGGGTTCTACGGCTATCCTTTGTGACTCCAGAAAGTTTACAGAAGCCTCAAGTTAAATACAGATGCCATTACCATTGTTATCGTCACTCTGTTAACTGCTGATGGCTCCCTTGTGCCAAGTACTGTGTTAGGCACTGTCAGTGTGACCTCTTCAAAGCTAACAAAGAAAGGGGATTCTCAGGAGCCTCATGGTATGTACGAAGGCAGGCTGAAGAACTGTTCAGCTTATTTAACTTACAGAGTTCCTTGGCCCTATAAAAGAGCCCATGATGATGTACAATCAATACAGTTGGACGTAAATGATAAGTAGGCAATCCACATGCCATTTCATCATCTAAGATGCCAGTGATTTTAAGATGCACTCCCGATTTTATGAGCTGATAAGAAAAAAAGCACTGCTAATCTAAGTTCTGAGCGTCAAAGATTGTAAGGTGAATACAATTGCAGAGATGTGAAAATGTGAAACAGTGTGCATGAATTGAATACGGCATTCTTTTAAGACTACATTAAGAAACTGAACATTCTAAGATAGTACCGTCCTGTCTACATTATGAGATTAAAAAATATAAAAGACTATCATACCAGATGCTCTCTTCTTAATTAGCTTTAGGTAGTTCAGAATACTACATCTGGTGTCCACATCTACTTCCATGTTTTCAAGGTAGGAGTTCAGAATTGGGATCAGTCCAGGAAATACACCTTCCTACAAGAAGCAGGACAGGTTATGAACTCCCTGCCAGGGGATGTGCACAGTGAGGCGTGCTGTACAGGGCCACCCTCCTACCTTCCCATTGATGATGGTGTCTATGCTCATGAGGGTGTACTCTTCTGCAGCGAGCTCCGTGCTGTTCTGGGCCTTGCCACAACCGTCGACCACTGCGTTGCCACCTGCCGGAGAAGGGGGAAAGGGGAGCTTTGGCAGTTTGCTGCAGCATAAGCTGACCTCAGAAATCTAAGATAATGTAATACCTTTGCAAATGTCTTTCCTGAAATAAAACATTCCCTGCAAGACAGCGTCTCGTTTCTGTGCTACCTTCATGTTCTCATCAACCTAAGGGAGAAAAAGAATCACGATCAAGTCAAACACAGAAGTTGCAATGAGGACTCACTCCCTAAGGGATTCTACTTTCTGCCCAAATGCTTCCCAGTTGGAGGAACAGGCTTTTTATTTACATGTGGCCTGTGTCACTCAATCATGGATTGGCATGTGATTTTTTTAACCCATCAAGGAATTTTAAGAGAAACTTAACAAACCTAAAACTTATATTTATGTGAAATGTCTGCATTTCAAAGCATCTTTGTGACTGAGCCTTGCAATAAATATACAGTACTGGGAGGGCAGGTGGCTGGTTCCGTTTATATAGCAGTGTCTCTCCAGGGGTCCCAGGGTAATGAAGGCAGAAGGCAGGACTAGAACCCAGTTCTTTTTATTTATTTATTTATTTATTTTGGGATGGAGTCTTGCTCTGTCGCCCAGGCTGGAGCGTGCTGCGCAATCTTGGCTCACTGCAACCCCTGCCTCCCAGGTTCAAGTGATTCTTCGTGCATCAGCCTCCCACATAGCTGGGATTACAGGCACACACCACCATGAAGGCTAATTTTTTTGTATTTTTAGTAGAGACGGGGTTTCACCATGTTGGCCAGGCTGGTCTCAAACTCCTGACCTCAAGTGATCCACCTGCCTTGGCCTCCCAAAGTGCTGGGATTACAGGCGTGAGCCATCACACCAGGCCTAGAATCCAGTTCTTCTAAGTTCAGTGCTCTTCCCCTGCTGCCTCATCACTGGGGTTTTGCCTCCCCACTTTAGTGAGGAAAGGCAAAGACCATTCATAGGTTGTCATATCTGGAATAAGGTTACAGCCCACCAGGGGCAGATCACAACTTTTTGCCCACCTGGTGGCTCTGGCCATGTAAACTCATTCACGAGACCGAAAACTGTTTTATTTGTGAATTCTCTGTATCTCCAATGACTTTTTAAGACCCTCAAAGCAGAATTACAACTTTTTAGTAGTAATCTCTTGTTTTCTAGAATGGAATCTTATATGGGACCTCGATATATATAACAATGACCAGTTAGAGGGCCAGGCTGGCATGGGACAGACGGTATACAAGTTCTCTTGATTACCAAGCCTCTTCCCATATTCATTAAGGGGGGAATGCTATCGTTGTGGTTTCATTTTTTAAGAGACACACAGGACCGTTTGAAGAATCTAGATACTCTAGGCACATACTCAAATCAATAGTCTAAAATTCCACCATGGCTGTGAACATCCGCTTTCATTTCTAATACCTGTTTCTTTTTTCCTTAGTCTTGAAAAAAGTTCATAATGACCACTGGTTTTAATGTCTGCTTTTATGACTTTCTTTCAAAGTATATTGTACTTTGTTCTTTAGATTCTCAACTTTTTGTTAAGACATTTAAAGCTGTATTTTTTCCTTAGAAACCGGCTCTGCCAGCATCCCACTGCCTTTCACTTTCCTACACAATCTGTAATTCTAGTTTTGGTTAATCTAAAACCTACTAGGAAAGACATTTTAAATTTCCAATGTTAAATTTCTCCATAACATCTCTTTAGTTCAATGTTAGTGGGAACACATGCTGTATTGTGTCTACTTTTGAGAGGTGAAGATTTTCTTTAATTTTTGTAAATCTTACTGAGGGCATTTTGAAAAAAGATGTGGTATGAGACACGTGATACAGGCTATACAACCAAGCTTGTTAACATTTAATAAGCCATTTAATTCCCCCATGGTCTTTCCCAACCTTTATTATATGGCCTGTCAGTTATTAAGTAACATGCAAGGTACTTGCTAAGTGGTTTACCTGCATTAATCCCACATGGGCTTACAACAGCCTACTCATCCCCCTCTGGGATACAGGTGGGAAACTGAGGCACTGAGAATAAGTAACTTGCCCAAGTTAAAAGCCTAGTAAACAGTGCCAGGGATTTATGCCTTTAGTTAACACATCGAAGCCACGTACTATTATTACCCATCACACTAAATTCTTTTTATGTTACATTTTATGATACAAAAAGGACCACAGCTTTCACCATCTTGGAAGAATATATACATCTGCTTTATGCCATTTATTACTTTCCACCTCACGTTCTGCCTGATCCTGCTTTGCCATTCTGCTATCCTTCCAAAAGGTCAGTAGGCAGCTCCTGTCGGCATCTGTCCTTGTTCTAGGTGTATCTCATCAAACTTACACTGTGTTGTTGCTATTTTATATTATCCGTTTTAGCTGTTCAACAGGATAGGGTTTAGTCTATTCAAATTTTTTTTTATTTTATTTTCACCATTTTATGTTCGATGAGCTATTGTTCCATCATTTCCCTGACCCCACGCCCAATTCTGTGGCACTGAAATGTATTCGCTGTTCATTTTACCACACTTTTAGAAGTGTGGTTTAACTACCAGCAAGTTTAGAAGTAATAAATCCTGCTTCTATACTATTCATAGTTTTCCTTACTTTTAAAGAGGTACTTTTGAAATTATAACTCTGTCAAGCGCTAATGAGTATCTACCATTCATCTCCTTCCTCATCCCCTTACTAGGTACGATGGTCTGAATCTCTGTGTTCCCTCAAATTAATACACTGAAACCTAAAGCCCATTGTAACAGTATTAGAAGGCAGGGCCTTTGGGAGGCGATTAGATCAGGAAGGCTCTATCCTCATAAACGGGATTAGTGCTCTCACAACAGAGACCCCTGAAGAGCCCCTTCCACCACGTACGAACCAGAGAGCAAGCTCTCGCCAGACACTGAAACTGTCGGTGACTTGATCGTGGACTTCCCACCTCCAGAACTGTGAGCAATACATTCCTGTTGTTTCTAAGCCACCCAGTGTATGCTGTTTTTGTTACCGCAGCCCAAACAAACTAAGACACTAGACAAGACTTCTAGCCCTAACTTGATCCATGCAGTTTTGTTAGAACCACTTGAAATTTAAAGAATAATTTGGCTGGGAAGATCATTCTGTGGTTGTTAATTCTGTACCTCTCGAGATCCTGAAAACTTCTTTCCATATAGCATTTAATGTTCCAAATGTGAAGTAATATCAGTTGATTTTTCCCCCTTGGCAGGTCTCTTAATTTTTTCTCCTGTCCAAGCAGTTAATTTTCCCTTTGAGATTCATAAATGCCTACCTTTGAGTTCTTTAAATATTTGTCTCATCCTTAACAGAGACTTACTAAGGAAAAATTCTATTATTTTATATCTTTCTATTATTTTATATCTTTCCTACATAAACTATTCTCCCCTTCTAAATTATTACACAAACATGGAATTTTCCAGAGCTTTCCATGCTTCAGGTTTTCCGTAATTTCCATTTCTTCACCATCCTGCTGGGATTAATTTTAATTTGGTTTTCTAAATCACTGCCTTGGATATTCAATAACATCTGCTCTACTGGTGAATATATTCACCATTAAATAAGCACCACCTACAATGCTTATTTTACAAATGTGACTGAACTTCTATAGAATTTGTCTGAGGCCACTAATTAGAATTCCTTTAAGAATTCTTTCCAAAGCTGAGCATGGTGGTTTGTGTCTGTAATTCCAGCTACCTGGAAGGCTGAGGCAGCAAAAGAAGGATCATTTAAGCCCAGGAGTTCAAGACCAGGCTGAGCAACATAGTGAGACCCTGTTTCTTAAAACAGGTTTAAAAATTTAAGAAATAAAAAAATAAATAAAAATTAAAAAAATTTTTTTAAATAGTAATTATTCCAGTTTCTTTTCTTTTCTTTTTTTCAAGAGATGGGATGTGGCAATGTTGTCGAAGCTGCACTAGAATTCCTGGACTCAAGCAACCCTCCAGCCTCAGCCTCCCAAGTAGCAGAGATTATAGGCGTGCGCTGGACCCAGTTTAATTCCTTGAAGTAACTTAATTTCACTGAACAGAATATACCATTGCAGGACCAGCTGGGCCCTTCTCTTTAAGGTATCAATTATTCTCAATTTTCTGTTGCCTTCCAGGCATCTATTTTTACTTATAAGCAAAGGCTTAAGACTGGTAGCTTACACGGAATCTCTCTTAGATGGATCTGGTCTCCCCGATAGGTAAGCATGAGGAAATGTGGGCCCACAGAATTCCATGGGTGACCTTTGGTCTGGGTGTGAGGAGCAGGCATGGAGCTGACAGCTGAACTTCCTTCGGGGCTGTGGGGATGGGCACAGCCTGGCAAACCCCTCGTGGAGGAGGGAGATACCCCAGGGGCAGATCCTGAGCTAAGCAGTTTCATTCCTGCTTCCATGTTTGCTGTGACAGGGCTGCCCTACTTCTCCCTTCTCTGGCCCTAAAACCCTCCGCCAGGAATCCCTGTGGCAGGGCCCTCTCTGTTTAGCAGTTTTTCCCAGCCACTCTCTGCGAAGAGGACCCCGGCTCAGAAACCAAAGGTGTTCACCTCCTCAGCTACTGTCCCACAGCCCACAGCTCTGCTCCCTCGTCACCTAGAGTTGTTCTGCTGGCAAATGTCTCCAAGAAAGCTCGTTTTGTTATCTTTTTAGGGGCTGATTAACTCCTATTTGCTTTTCTGACAGTCCAATCCCAACCAAATTCTTGAGAAACATCTCAAGTTCAGTTCTACTGAGGAGACTTTTCCCAGCATTCCAGCAGTTACACTTTCCATCCCCATCCTAATTTTAACATTATAATCAACCTGGGATTTTGTGGTGGTTGAAATCAATGTGTGGGACTCCTTCCAGCCACCAATCACCTATAATGGAAAGCATCTAGAAATTAAGCTTAGGTTTAAGAGAAAAGAATAGGGCTGATGGAGAAACATTTTACTGCAAAGAGTAAACAATTCTGAATGAAACCAGACTGGAAATAAATAGCATATATAAATAAATAAATATATCTACAGACAGATCTGTACCCATCATCATGAAGAAACGCATCCTTACCTTTGACAATGGAATGAGAAAATCCAATTTGTAGGAAAGGATCACTCTGGTGAGCAATACCACAAACACAACATAGGCAGAGTTCTCGAAGTCTGTTAATTGCACCTAGACAAGCAGAAGCCCAGAGAAGTAATAAACCAACTACACAAATGTGCTCTTCCTTGACCCAGGCCCCTCCTCAGAACCTGTCATTCCCAAGCCATCTCCTAATTCCCCATCTGGGTCTGGAAGCCTTTTGCCCACATCTATTCTCAGAAATCAACCCTCCTTAACTTGGACTGCACATACTTAATTTTTATTTTATATTTAAGAGCCTTCTGATAGCAGCATCAGATGGGTGATGAACAGCTGGGGAAAGAGTACTTTTGAGTCAGTTCTTGCTGATGCATGTGTCTTACCTCCATGGGTCGAAATTCTACTCTCCATCCAATGTCTGAGTTTGGAGGAGGGGGCTTAAATCTCATTGTCTGCCAATTTGTGGACTGAATATTCTATGATAAAAAAGCAGAGAAGAAAACTTTTCACATATCCAGGAAAATGTTAAGATGATGTGGTATTTAATTAGGAAAGAAGACTGTTCACTGTCCATACCAAATTTCTTCAATTTACAAAGACAAAAAGGTACAATTTAAGATTTTCTTGGAGTGTGCTCATTTAGGAAAACAAAACAGCAAGCGTTTAACAAAAGACAGAGGCCCTAACCCTGCAAGCTTAATCCTACCCAGCTCCTAATCCCTACCTCCTACCTATGGGACAGCATCTGAAGAGCCACGGGGCCCCCACCTTCATCCCTGAGAGTTCTAGGAGCCAGCCTGCTGTTCCAGGTGACACTGGACACTTTCATCTGAGAACCCTGTCACACGACAGTTGTTTCCTTTCTTCCTCCTCCCTTGGGAATGCTGCTGCTTCGATGACCCCAGAGCCTAAGAAGGGTAGCTGTTTCTCAAGACGTTGGGAGAGAATTCTTTCTTGGCCCTGACATCTTGGGACCCAATGGCAATACTGGAAGGATTTATATCTCCTTTTGTGAGTTTGGTGGGGGAAAAAGGGGAATACAGATGGTATTACAAAAGGTATATATGTATGTCAATGTCTACATATAACATGACACAGAAATAAATCTATGAGATGTCTATCTACAAAGAATAAAAAGTTACGTGATATGTCTGAAGCACTGAAATAGCTGATCAGGTTATTTTTGCACAGTGTGTGTTTGAATTTTCACCACTAGGCAAATAAGAAAATACTGAACAAACAAACAAATAAAAAAATAGAATCAGTGAGATAACCAGTAAGAATCATAAGAGTATTTGAAGCCGGGCGCAGTGGCTCAAGCCTGTAATCCCAGCACTTTGGGAGGCCGAGGCGGGTGGATCACGAGGTCAAGAGATCGAGACCATCCTGGTCAACACGGTGAAACCCTGTCTCTACTAAAGCTACAAAAAATTAGCTGGGCATGGTGGCGCGTGCCTGTAATCCCAGCTGCTCCGGAGGCTGAGGCAGGAGAATTGCCTGAACCCAGGAGGCGGAGGTTGCGGTGAGCCGAGATCGCGCCATTGCACTCCAGCCTGGGTAACAAGAGTGAAACTCCGTCTCAAAAAAAAAAAAAAGAGTATTTGAAACCAATTTTTCATTTTCCAAGTCCTTTACTGCACTGGGTAAATGAAAGTCTTAAGAGATTTCTTTTGTATTCTTCGCAGGTACAGAAAACTGCCTCCCCAGCTTGGTTTATGAAGTGAAATGCATTTAAAACAGGATTCCAGTCTCTTGGAAGTCAAAAAAATAAATAAATAAAAATAAAATCGAGGAGATACCTCAAAATGGTCAGACTCATTAGCATCATCCAGGTGTATTTTCTCTTCAAACAGCGTCAGTGGGTCTCTAATAAAGAGATGAGCAACATGCTGGGCCAGGAGATGATCAATGCCTGCAAAGGGAGATCATATGGGAACTCACTGCAAAGCGGGAGATACCACTTCCTCTTAGCCCAGAAAGACGACAGGGTAGCTCAGGAAGTTTGAAGAAAGGGTGCCTAGAAGCTTAGGAAATAGCTGGTTTGATCAGTATCCTCACCTCGCCCAGTATTTTATACTGCAGACACTGGGGGAATGTCAGCATTTTATTCACTACTTACACAATGCCTGCTGGGGCACTGGTGTGGACCTAGCCACAGACCTCCAAAGTAAGCTCCTTTTGCTAAAAGTCAAGAAGATCTCACAAGTATTTGGAACTTGAAACTTTAGGAACAAGCAGCCTCATTAAAAAAGTTAAAGACTTCACACTAACAATGGAAACCAGACGAGGAGTCAGCAGAAAAGTGTAAAAGAGCTTTGAAGAACTAAAGGCGTACAATGAAACCCTGGAAGATGGAGTGGAAACTCACCTTCCTGCAACAGCTGTTCGTAGATCTCTTTATCTATCGTCAAGTCGATGTCATTGTATTTCTCACCACACTTAGATAAATAGCTGTCTATTGAGTCATATCGGGATTTACTGATCCTATAGTTATTGTTCTTCAATGGCTAAAGATTAAAAAATATATAAATGAATATGCCGTATAAAAGGAGTTGAAAATAAACTAATTACATATATTTTAATATATGATAATTACATAAAAACCTCAACATAAGATACAGAAAAAAAAGTTAGTGAGCCCTAAAAAGTATTATTAAGGAAAATTATATTTTTAAAAATCTGAAGGCAATTAAGTACCCTTATTTTCTGGAATGATTTAAATATACTTTTTTCTTTTTAAAGCAGATGATTTTCATTCTTATTAAGCTAGGGGAAACAAATGCTAAGGTTAAAAGTAAATAAATAAATAAAGTAAAATAAATCTATCAAAATAATTTATCCTTTAAAGTTTATTTCTACTTAGAAAGCATGTTCAACAATTTATGAGCAATTACATGAGAGTAGCAGCAGTGTAGCCCTGGTTGAGAATATCAAAATCACTTATGAGGGTTCCTTTAAAAACACATACATTCAGGTCCTATCCTAGAGATTCTTATTTAGAAGATCTAGGATAGGGTCTGGGTGTGTATTTTTAAAGATTTCCATGGGTGGTTCTGCTGCACATCCGTTGGTGGAGAGATGCAAGGGTTACTTTACAGTTCAACATGCAAACAAGAGGTGCCATCTCACCCTTATTAATCAACACCTAAACTTTTACATGGAAAAAGAATCTCTGACAACAAATTATGCTTTCCACAGCAGAAAGCACCATATACAAAACACTCAAGTGGCAGGTAAAAACAGCTATCAGCACTTCCAAAATATAGAAAATGGCACAACTAATTTTAAATGAAGCTAAAACAATTATAGACATGAACATACGATAAAAATTAACTCCCCACCCAGACCAAATCTTTTTTCCCCACTTCAGATAAAAATTTCAGAGAGACATCAACATTGCAAGTAGTTACAATAGCTCCGTTTTACCTGCTTGACTTAAAAGGGCTATTAAGGAAAAATAATTCCTACCTCCAGTCCTCTCTCCTCCCGAGTTCTATCATCTACAGATGCTGAAATCACTCCCCAGCGACAATCAATGTCTGACACATAGCCTCGGTAAAAGGGAGACGCAGCACTCAAAGCCATCTAAAACAAACGAAAGTCAGCTTCTGCAAATTCAAAGTGTCACATGCCAAAAAAAAAAAAAGTTCCATGTAGTTATATTTCTGGTCAAAAAGGATCAGTTTATGCAACCCATACAGAGCTCCACCACATATACCTGTGCCTGTCTTCTAGTGAAATATACCAGGAAGAACCCAAATCCTGGGGTTTGATTCACTGAAACCATCCTGTCTAATGTGAGGACATGAAGTATGGGAGAGGGAAAACAGCCACACTCAAACTTGACACTTAACAAATCAATGTTGTACTAGCAAGAGTAAACTTCTACAGTGTAGATTCTCACTTCATTATACCTAAACCTGCATACCATTTATATTAGTTCATCTCTGACTGAGGTCTTAACTGGACTTAAATAGCACACTGTCAGTAAATACTGCACATGCTATCTTATTTCATACGAAGTAGTATTTAAAATAAGAGGTAATTTCTACTTACAACAATTGGACAGATAGTGGCCAACTGATCATAAAGGTATCTGGCCTCAGATATGCTGCAGGCTTGGAATGTCACCTGTTTAAGAATTACAAAGTTATTAACACCAAGGAAAAATGATTAGCATGCTCCCCAAGCAGTGAAGTCAGAGAAGGAAGGTGGCTGGGGAAAGAAGGGCAACATAACAGCCCTTCATTAATGGCAACATTTAATGCAAGGGTTTGTTTAAAAGTTGTCTTAGGTGAATTAAACTAGAAAATGGTGTTTAATGATGTTCCACTGCCTACTGACAACTAACATAAATAACCAAGGTTCTAAGTGAAATAAGATTAAGTAGTCAAAAAAGAAAAAGAAGACACAGACATACGATGACCTTTAGCAAAGCATTTTCTCTTCTATGGGTTTGTTGCCTTACTTACCTTTTAGTTAGTGAGGGATAGCAAAAGGAATTTGGACAGGTTAACTATAGTTTTCAAACTTCACTGGTGGCAGTATGGTGAAGAGCTTGGAAGCGGGCAAGGCTATAAAGACAGGGAAGCAGTTAAAATACTGTACCTGTCAAGGAAAAGCCTAAGGAAAGATCTGGGGAGAGGGATATGAAAGTCGAAGCAGCAAGCCCTGGTGACCAAGGGAGACTACGAATAGAGGATAGCTGAGATTTTGGCCTGGGTTTTCGAGGTTAGAGAGAAAGAAGTGCCATGATGTGACGGACTTATGAGACCAAGAGAACAGACAGAAAAAGGGGCCCTCTAAGTGGCTAGGTCTCCAGGGGTGGTGCCCAGAATAAAAATCCGAGTTGGAGAAATATCTGGGGGATAGGCTCAGATAATGTCCTGAAGATGGGGAGATCACCCAGGAAGGCTGCATAAGGAGGGCAGGTAGGACACTTCAGAGTTAGGCAGAGAAAAAGACCATATAATTTGGTTAGCATGAATTCTTTGTTACCCAACAGAAACAAACAAACAAACAAAAAGACCTGCTTTTTTCCAAGAGGGTAAAAGGGGCAAGAATATTACAAATATTAGCACATTTGTAATAACTGCAAGTTGGGAATAGTTTTAATCTCCTCTGTTATTGTTATTCAATAATGACAGCTTGAATTTAGTGTTGGTACCTGAAATGAATTAAGTGTTTAAAACTTGAAATAATGGCAGCTGACTGAATATTTTACTGTTAAAATAGCAACTTGTTAGTTCCAGTGGTTTTAGCTGGATCTCAACTTTGCTTTCAACAGCAGACAACATCTTACCGGAGACTCGAGTTTGCCTGCCCAATTATAACTGCATTTCATGTCAATGTGGAGACTAACTATATTAACTAGTCATTACTAGTTCAGTAATTAATTCACCACAGAGGAAAGCTGTGTCACAGGCATGAAAGAATAAGAGTTTCAAAGGTTAAAACAAAGATTGAGAAGGGCTGGCAATTAGGTCACTGATAACCAGACCAAGGGTGGTTTCCGCAAAAGAGGTAGGAACTTGGAAATCTGTTTTGAGTGTGGTATGAATTACATGAGCAGTGAGGAAATGGGAGCTGGTAAGCAAAGTCTTTATGCACTTGTTTGCTAAAGTGGAAGCTCCAGAAGGATGGGGATCTTTCTTCCCATTCTCTATCCCAAGTGTGCAGGACAGTGTCTGACACCTGGTTAAGTGCCTAACAAAAAAAAAAAAAAAAAAAAAAAAGGTGCTACCTGAAAGACAGGGACCCCAAAGGCCAAACTGACAAGGCATTGAGATTTAAAAACAAAAACACTAAATTTTCCCAAGTATTTTGACTAGAGAATTATTTTAAACATGCATCTCGTGATTTTTTTAGGTCTTTTTTGTGTTACTCTTAGGTATTTTAGTGTGCGTGCATTATTTTTGTTTTTAAAACGATACTATGAGAAGCAGGTTTTCTTTCCAGTTCTGCAACTGTCTTCTCTTAGATGGCCTAGTACACAATACATAATTCGTAGGTGAATCCTGGGAAATCCAACCACAGAGAAGTACACAACAGTGAAGTGACTTAGTTATTTTAAATACACTGAGTAATTAGCTTCCTTACTCTAGAGCTGATATGCAATCATCAAATTAAATAGGACATCACTGTGGATAATGGCTTTAACGGAAGGAACAAAAGTTCTTACACCTTAAAAAGCCATGAATACACGAATAGTTTTGGCTTCTAGTGTCCTTTTAAAGCATCATATAAAGAAGACACACAATGTTGCCAGGAAACTGATGGGGACAGGGGAAGGAACTAAGGAAGATATATGTTAGAAACCTAAACATCTAATCTAAAATTAACCTATAACCCAGTTTTGAAGTCACATGACTTTGGGGGGCGGGGCAAGTGGGGCTATCATAGCCTGTCATGTACTTAGTGCTTTTTTTTGAGACAAAGACTTGCTCTGTTGCCCAGTCTGGAGTGCAATGGCATGATCTTGGCTCACTGCAACACCCGCCTCCCAGGCTGAAGCATTTCTCATGCCTCAGCCTCCTGAGTAGCTGGGACTATAGGCACATGTTGCCAAGCCCAGTTAATTTTTTGTAGTTAGTAGAGACAGGGTTTCACTGTGTTGCCCAGGCTGGTCTCGAACTCCTGAGCTCAGGCAATCTGCCCACCTTGGCCTCCCAAAGTGCTAGGATTACAGGCATGAGCCACCGCATCTGGCTTGTATTTCTAGTAGAGATGAGGTTTTGCCATGTTGGCCAAGCTGGTATAAAACTCCTGACCTCAAGTGATCCACCCACCTTAGCCTCCCAAAGTGCTGGGATTACAGGCATTAGCCACCATGCCTGGCTGTGAACTTAGCGTTTTTTAAGTGATTCCTGAGAAGCCCCAAAACAGTCAAGAATTTGAATGTGGTTAAAATGCTTTTTGTTTTATACATAAGCCTTACATTAACCTCAAAAAATTACTTTAAATATATTTTTTCTGCTTTACTGTAATAAGCACTTTTTTTCCCATCTTTCTAATGATACATAATAGATGTACACTGTTTCAGGGCACATGTGATAATTTAATATAGTCATATAATTTGTAAAAATTAAATCAGTGTACTTGGGAAAAAAGTCGTTTCAGCATTCCACTGAAGAGATATAAAGCAGGGATTTCTGTGGTGAATTGCAAAATTTCATTTCATTTGCCACACACTTTATCTGTGCTAATGATTTTTTTTTAAGTGGAGTAGTGAAACTACATGTCATTGGGAAAAAGGAAACTGAATCCCATGACAAAGCTTTCACTGAATGGAAAAATCCTATCTACAAGCAAGAAGAATATTTATCATCTATCATTAGTACACATTTATTGGTATACACACAGTGTTTCAGTGGAAAGAATATCCCTTTGGCACTGTATCAGAGAAACTATGCAGTCCTTGGCAGAACACCCTGGTTTAATATTAAACCAAGAAAAGGCAATCAATACTCTTACAGCACTTATATAATTTTAAAACCATGTACAGTGAGCTCTAGAACTTAATGGTTCTCTTTACAAATACTTGTAATTAAGATAGGAGAACAGATGTGCAGTTAAAAGTCTAAAGGTCTCGTTTTTCATGAAGTGTGATGGTTTATGTTTGTTTGGAAGTCACATATTTTATACTCCGCTTTATATGTCAAGAAAACAGAAATTATTCTTGGCCATGTTATTTAAGCACATTCAGAATGGAAAAATCTGATTTCAGCATTCAATTTGGATTATACGTTTTGAAAATAAACAGACCAGAGATATATGTGCAAGGAGTGCATGTACACGCCGCAGCTGTTTGAGGTGAAGGAAGGCTGGGTTCTGGGCCCGGTCTATTGAGAGCAGTCAGGCTGGGCCCTTACAGGGGACCAGGCTCTGCACGACCCTGTGCCCCTAAGGACACCGTTTTTAATAGCTGAAGTAATTGGAACTGCATAAAATTTCCTTAGACAATAAATACTCTTTAACTTCTGTTAGGTAAGGCAATAAAATAAATATTAGCTTAGAGTCAGACCTAGAAGGGGCCTTAATATCAACCCTTCTTTCAACTGATGAGAAACCTGAGCCAAAAGAAGTAAAAGGAGTTTCCGAAATACCTGAGTAGTGACTGAACCAAAACCCAATGGCAGGCCTGTGTGTGGCCACCTGATGGGTTCTGTGCTTCCACTCTGGTCCAAAGTGAGCTTGGGCACGGTCACTACCAGGGGCACCATAATTTAAACAGATCAAGGAAAATTTTTAAATGGGTAAACACAGACAGGCTCCTGTGTACTTTACTCAGTAGCAAGGCAAATACAAGCTGCTAAACATTTGTTCTTTTTATACCGCTAGACAATTTTGCACAAATCCCTTGGATCACAAAATCACTGGAATACTTCCATCGGAGCTCATTTTCAGTTTTGAACAATATTTAAACCACCTCATTAGCCTGTCACTAGATGGCAGTAAAAACTAGGCATATAAAGAAATGATGACAGAATATATTGCATTTTAAGTTAACTGAAATTATAAAGGTCTATATAGAGTACATACCTTTTTGGTGAACCACAGAGTCTGTAGAACTATTAGCCATACACAGCTTCCAATGAATTTACTAACATAATTTCATTGTTTTTCAGAAAGGCATACCAGCTACAATTTCAACCTGATTAAAATGTGATTTTTTTGGAACAGGAAACATGCACATATAATGAAGTAAAAAAACAGAAACGGATGGAACACTTTGCCTCTCTGTATATTTGAAACAATACCTGAAGACAGCAATTGCCCATTCCAAATCCCATGGCATCCATGTAAATATGTTCTGGCTTAGAAGCCCTTGATGCCTCATCATCCTCAGGAAATGTTTCTATAAATGGAGATGGCGTATTCCTGTCCTTAAATACTGTATTATAAAAATACAAAAACAAAAATGGTTGAGAATCCAGGATTAAACAACAATTGAACATGTCTCTCTCCTACCCCACCACCTCTCAGTAGACTTACTTGGTACATTGATGACAACCTTTTCTCCTCTCCTATGTCGGATATTTCTTGTTAAGGTACTAAAACAGACAACCAAACGTCATAAATTGGTCACCTAAGAGTCATCATGTAAAAGAAGAATGTGATTACATACAATTAAATGGAATGAAATCATACCTCAAATTAGTTCTCTAAGGCAACTCAACAAAAAATGTATCTGTGTCAAGGTACTGTAAGGGAAGTTTCTGATAAAAGGTTTTGCATTAGTATCAATTCTTTGGCTTCTGCTCAAGAATCCCATTCTCTCTCCTGTTCAGCCCCTGCTCCCATGGCTCCCTGTAACTTACCATGGTCTGCTTTCACTGTTTCCAGCATTTCCCAAATTAACTCCAAAGACTTTGGTCAAACTGTAGTACTCACTTTCCCCTGGCATCTCTGGAGCCCCAAGGCCTTGTTCCTCCCTCCCTCAAATCTGCAGGATTAACACTTATCCTCCAGACTTACGCTTGTTTAGTCCAAAAGCTACCAGGCACAGAGTGGCCACTGAGTACTTGAAATATGGCTTGTCCTAATTAAAACACGCATGTTCCGTGAGAATAACATATACTCCAGATTTTGAAGACTTAGTACAAAAAAACATAAAATTACTTGCTAATAAAGTATTGACTACATGTTCAAATGATAACACTTTTGGACATATTGGGTTAAACAAAATATAAAATTATGTTCATCTCATTTTTACTTTAATGTGGGTATGAAACATTTACAATTACATGTTTCTGTGGACAGTGCTGCTATAGGCTCCGCTGCAATGCCACCTCTTCCATGAGGCCTGCTTTGATACCCTCACTCAGAAGCACCTTCCTTTCTCCAAGAATTTCTAGTGCTACCATCTTTTGGCATCTGTCATAATCTATCTCTTCTTGAGCAGCTGAATTGTTTTTATTTTCCTTTAAACACATGACAACATTTGAAGTTAGAAACTATGTCTACAAATGTCTCCCCCAAAAGTCTCTGCACATAGCAAACGTGTGGGCCTGTTAAAGGAATGAATGCTGAGAAGTCTTGAACTACAAACTAACAGAACTAGAAGTTAACAGAAGAAAGAGAGTGCCGATTATATATACCAGGTACTGTACCTATTTCACAAGTTATATAGAGTGAGATGGGCAGATCACAGATACCACAGTTAATTTAGAGAGGGGAAAACAAAGTAGGAATAACTAAGAGAAAAAAATCCCAGTAGGCATTTACAGACCTAGCACTGAAAATAATCACCCCATTAAAAGAGGTCAGTGGCTCAGCGAATAACTTAGCAATGACTTGGAAAATGACTTGGAAAACTCAAGCCTGGTGCAAGTGTCAACAACCAAAGAGCCTGGGGGTACCGAAGACATGAACAGGTGCACGTCTGCTAACTTCTCTGGTTACTTCGGAAGGGAGCCAAAACTCGGTAAATGCTCAGAAAGGATTCCCAGACAGAAACACCATACTCTCAGAAAGCAGAGGTCTAGTGAGGGGCATCTGCATTTCAACACAAAGCCATACTCACCTGAAGCGAGGGTGCTTGTTTATTGCTTCATCTGGAAAGAAGAGGGACTTGGAAGCTCCTCCTTCCACTGGGTTGGGTTTGAACTCAGGCAGTGTGAACCCAGGACAGCCTAATCTACAACAAATTGGAGAACTAAATAGATGGAATTTGTTTTCAGGAATTAATTGTGGGCAATCTTGCCATCACTGCACCTGCTAAAGACACCTCATTTCTAATTCCCTTTTCAGAGGGTTTTGTATCTACAAAACAAATGTTGTGTACTAAATACTGTGCCCTTTCACAACCACTCCCTGCACTTCTTGCTCATGAAGATCTTCTTTTAATTCCAGCCTACTACTAACTTTATCCAACTCTCCACTGACTCACAATCCACACAGCATTTACTCGAGTCCTCTCCATCTCTTCATCTAATAGGAAGGAGGAGCACAGAAACCATTTCTCTTGGTCACACCAGCTGTCATGGGTTACAGATGTCCCCCTACATGGCTTCTTTTTCACCCCTAAATTCTCAGATTATCTTTGGACCCCCTGCATGGCACCACTGCCTCCCACTTCCTGGTAGGCTCTGTTTGAAACTGGAAGGAGCCTGTTTTTTGCCTCTGCAGGTCACCTCATGAGTCCCTCAAGATTAGGAAGTATCTCTGCCAGTGTCCCATCCACTCCTGAGATCACCCTCTGAAGTTTGAAACCCAACCCTATTCTCTTACGTGACTTAAGGCGCTCTAATTTCAACACAGGAAAATGAAGCTCCATATTTATTCCTAAATGTAAAGCTCAAATTCCACATCACTTTCAGTGATGGCCCCAGTTTTTCCAAGTTAGGAATTTGAGGTCAATAATACACATGCTGTAAGGGAGGACAAAGACTAAGTAAAAGCCAGACAGAGGAGGGGTTTTAAATCAGTGGGAAGAAAGAAACTTGTGGTTTGAGGGTCAAGACTAGCTCATATCTTTAAAAAAATATATATATATATATTTTTTTTTTTTCTGAGACAGGGTCTTGCTCTGTCTCCCAGGCTGGAGGGCAGTGGCACAATCATAGCTCAGCACAGCCTTGAACTCCTGGGCTCAAGTCATCCTTCTGCCTCAGCCTCCTGAGTAGCTGGGATTACAGGCCTGAGCCACTGTACCCGGCTAAGTTTTTTTCTTTTTCGTAGGGACAAAGTCTCACTATGTTGCCCAGAGTGGTCTTGAACTCCTAGGCTCAAGTAATCCTTCTCCCTCAGCCTCCCAAAGTACTGGGATTACAGGTGTCAGCCACCACGCATGGCCATCCATGCCTTATTTTCAACCCCTACTTTTTCTTAATATAAAATAAAGTACCTGTTGGCTGCCCATATCCACCTTGAGAACAACTGACGGTAGTGATCTTTACCTAGAAAACAGTTCCCAGCTACAAGGGTGCTTGAGAATTCTTGAAGCTATGTGCATTATTTGCTATGAGCCTACAACCTTAGGATTAGTCCTTTGAGAGAGTAACAAACTTAAATCTCAGGGGACCCCTCGCTCACCAGAATCAGATTAGATGAAGAGAGAATAAGAATGTGTTTGTGTGGAAGGGAGAAGGTAGAATCAGAACTTGCATCTTCAGACACCTACAGCACTGCTTTATTCTAGACCCGTGCTGTCCAACAGAACTTTCTGGAGTGATGGAGATGTTTAATATCCCCACTATCCAAACCAATGTGGTAGTCACTAACCATGTGGCTACTGAGCCCTTGAAATGAGTCTAGTTCCTCAGTCACATCAGAAACTACAACTTTCATTTTACGTAATTTTAATTTTAAATTTAAATAGTCAGATGACTACTGTTTTGGACTACAGCTCCATGCTGCAGAGCTTTACCTCTTTACAAAGGAAGTCACACTGTTTACACTTAAGAACCAGCACACTCCTTTCTCCCTTGATCCCATACTACAACAAAACTTTATCATTTATTGTGGATGTACAGGGAGGCTTCTGACCACTCAATAACTAATAATTATTGTTTCAAGTCCAAAAATACCTTCCTATATGGACAGTGTATAAAAAATTATACATTTAATTTTTTTTAATTATAGGTTTTTAGAATAAAACTTATGCCTTTGTCTCAACTCTCCCTTCATAATGACTTAAGATGCTACATCTTTTTATTTTTATTATTTTTATTTTTATTTTTGAGACAGATTCTTGCTCTGTTGTGCGGGCTGGAGCGCAGTGGTACAATCTCAGCTCACTGCAACCTCTGCCTCTCAGGTTCAAGCGATTCTCCTGCCTCAGCCCCCCTAGTAGCTGGGATTACAAGCGCATGCCACCATACCGGCTAATTTTTGTATTTTCTGTAGAGATGGGGTTTTACACGTTGGCCATGCTGGTCTCAAACTCCTGACCTCAGGTGATCCACCTGCCTCGGCCTCCCAAAGTGCTGGGATTACAGGTGTAAGCCACCATGCCCAGCCGCTAAATCTTTTTAAGAAGGGCAACTATTCTATACAGAACCATTCTCAATTAAGGTAAGGGATACATTAGGTTTTACTTTCAGGCCTAGAAGGAAACACCACAGCCCATCAATCCTACATATTCCTCAGTTTTAATATATAAAACAGTTCTGGTTTGTTACAAATCTCTTCCCACTTCCTTAATTTGCTAAGTGAAATGTACAACCCTCTTAAATGTTAAGGGGAAAAAAGGAAAACATAAGGTATTAAATTTTCCAGTTCACTAGAAGTTGTCTTTTAACATCTGTAACCTACTCCTTGGCCTCTAATGTAAAATTCTAAGGTTTTCAGGACAATGAACTATAGCAACAGCCTTGCTGTCTCTTCTCTCCCCAGCGGTGCACCAACTCTGTTATCTTTGAAACCACCCACGTTTCCTATCGGCAGCACCCACTGGCATCCAGGCAGCCCTTGTCTCCCCCAGGGAGCTCCCTCACTCAGCTCCTAGTAGCCCTGGCACCAGCTCCACAGCTGCTCTCACACTACAGCCCAAGTAAGGGCTGCAAAGCAAAAAGGGGATGCCATCCGTCCAATTCAACCTTCCCGAGGCCTCCGACTGCTTTTAGGAGAATAACCAAAATCTATAGCTAACCTCACCTGGCCTGCAAGTTACCTGCCAGCTTCCCTTTACCCCACACTTGCACTTCCTCCTCAGCCTCCTAGTCACATTGGCCAGCTTGCTTTCTTCTAGTTCCCAGAAAATACCTACTTGTTGGGCTCATCCTAGGACTTCTTCTACACACACTGCTCCCCCTCCCTAGGATTTTCCTTTGCTCCCCATTCCTGTTTCACTCCTCCAAGAATCTCGGACATCCCATCCCTCTCCCCCTCTACCCACCAGAGTCCACTGAATACCCAGGTTGTACTCTTTGCTCCCCATCTGTCTCCTCCTCCTAGCACTGCCCACTTTGACACTCATTGAATCTATGGATATTTGATTGTCCTTCATCCCCCTAGCTCCACAGAGACAGGGCTGTCTGTCTTCACTCAAGAGGGTATGACCATTCTGCCTGCAGCAGGCACTCACGTGTCTGAGTGAATGGCAGGGCCAGTGATTTTTCACCTCCTCTTTCAAACATTAGGACAAAGAAATGTGCCCACTTGAATCAAAGCAAATCTGTCCACCCTCACCCAGTGCTTTTCCTTCTGGTGGAAAGAAGGGAGTGGCCTATACATAAGGAATGAAGGTGTCACAGAAATAGAGATGCTTCTATAAATGTTGGATGACTGGCTTAAATGAATTTCCAACTATTTTGATGTTATAATAGAGATGTAAAAAACAATAAAATTCCCATTTAAATGCCCTTCTGAGGCCAATTATATGACCCTGAATGGCTGGTGCACATTTTTCAGCGAAAAGGTATAAAAATAATACTTCAAAGTGTTCTCCACCATGGATACCAACCCCAGAGCTCCTTTGAACTTTGAGGAGCTAAGCGTACTGTCACAATCCAACAGACATCTAGAATAGATAAATTACATTCATGCTTTGGCAGAAATGTATTCTTACATAGAGGTTCTACGTATCATACACACGATATTCATGTACCTCATTCTAAGCGAAGAACATAAGTTCACTCTTACTTTTACGTACTTTTGCTCATAACTAGATTTGATGACAAACCCTAAATCTTCTTTTCAGCACAATACGCAATGACCTAATGACTCATGTTGCACATAGATTATCGATATCAATAGTGCATTGGGAGCACCGCAGATCCTCCGATCTGCCAGTGATGTCGCCATATGCTAGTAGGTAAATGCTCCTTTCTGAAAGTGCGTGAGGACACAACCATCACAGTCACGAGGCGACAACACTCCAGCAGCTTCAGCTATTGCTTACAAGGTCAGAACTGTGTGGCAGGCATGCTGCTCCCTCCACCCTTGCCTGCGACAGACACAGGCACACTGCTGGTCTGTCATCACAGTACCCCAGTCTTTCCCACTGAGCCCCGCTGAGTGTGCTCACCACGGTGCAGCCACCACAGCTGACTGAAGCTGGCATGCAACTGTGCCTGCAGCTCTACTGTTACAGAGTCTCTCACGTGCCTAAAATATGAACTGTCTGTAGTGTATGAGGATTGTAGGGTGGAATGCCTGGGTCATGACTTGCTCTTTTTATTACCTGTATCTCTGAGAGATCTGCTGGGGCATGTTAATGTAGGAACTAACCTGGGAAATGAAGTTATTGTGCAAACAGCCTGATTTTCTTCTAAGACAGAAGTTGCCTCCTTCCGGCGTTTTCGCATGTTGGCCTCAACTGTGTTGAACTCAGACATCGTTCCTCCATAGGGCTGTCCCGGAGTCCCTTCAATCATGTAACTCCCATACTCTGGTCTCCAAAGGGTGGGATGGCTACGGAGGATAAATAATTTAGTTCCATCTTATTCTTTTGCTACAGTCTGCTCAATTTTTAAGTTTTTAAAGTTGATTAAAAAATTTAGAAACCATTAGGTATAAATGAAGCTAAGAACTCCTTCACAGTTCTCGGTGATTATCACTTTTCCACAGGTCTTCAACTACATAAGGGTCAACAAGTATTGAAGTATTGGGTCCAAAATATTTTCTTCTTTTGAGACAGAGTCTCGGTCTGTCACCCAGGCTGGAGTGCAATGGCATGATCTCGGCTCACTACAACCGTCGCCTCCCAGGTCCAAGTGATGCTTGTGCCTCAGTCTCCTGTGTAGCTAGGATCACAGGCGTGCAATACCACGCCTGGTTAATTTTTGTATTTTTTAGTAGAGACAGGTTTTTGCCTTGTTGGCCAGGCTGGTCTTGAACTCCTGGTCTCAAGTGATCTGCCTGCCTCGGCCTCCCAAAGTGCTAGGATTACAGGCAGGAGCCACCGTGCCCAACCCAAAATCTTTATGAATAACTGAAAATGCACACAGAGTACTCACTGTCCAGGACAAACTCACCCACTCTGCAGTAAAGGACATGAGGCCTTAAGGGCTCTTTCAATTCAATGCTACCCTCCAAACTCAAGTGCACTCCCCCAAAACTAATGAGTGGAAAATGAACAGGGAGTATATATTCCCTTTCCCGCCCCCTCTTTGTCTACTTAAATATAGAAATATTTTTAAAACATCATGCCAGCCAATCAAAACCCATCTGCAAGTTTTGTCTTGCACCATGGTTTGTGATCCCAGTTATATGCTTCCACAATACATTTTCCCCCAAAACGTTTTAAAAATAAACAGGCTTTATATTTAATTTACTGCACAAAGTGCTTCATATACTAATGTATTTAATTCCAACATCTTAGGTAGGTATTGTTATTATCTTTACTTTACAGATGAGAGAACTAAGGCACAGAAAAGTTAAGTAACTTGCCCAAGGTTATTCAGCTACTGAGTAAAGGAACCAGGATTTGAAACTCTGGCCACCTTGGGAACCAGAGCCTGTACTCTTAAGTGTTACGCTATCTTGCCTCCAGTAACTGGGGAAAAACTCTGTATTCCAGTAGTTTTAGCAGTTTCAGAAACACTAAATCAGCACATGAGAGCTTACTTTGGGTTTGTCCTTTCCCCCTTCTCTTGTAGAGTTTCAAGAACTTTCTCCCCAGACAGGACCAACCGGACTTTTTTATTTTCATGATCAAAAGATACCAACATGTATTCCACCTATTGAAAATAAAGGTGAGAAAAATTAACATTCTACGTTCTTCCAGACTTGTTTTCAGTGTGACCTCCTGAAGAAGAAGGCAGGGAAACGTGAAGTCTGGAAAGGATCCACAGTAACCCCAGACAGCCACATCTGCTCACAGTACAGCACACAGTTAAGTGTTCATACGTATAATATGAAAACCTGTAGAAATGATCAGTCAATAGTGCCACTTTCATCCCTCCTTGTCTCTGTTCTACGTAATATCCTATGGAAAGGTCGATACCCATTTTGACAAGTTGTACTTCAAAAAAGATGCGTTTTGAAGCAAAGATTCTGTAAATTGCCATTGTAAAAAAGCAGCTGCATTTTAAAATTTATTTCTTCAGTTAGTTTACTATAAGTTTAAGAAAGTAGTTATCTGGACATTTCAGTCAAGGTAGATTAAACTTACTGGCAGAGTAATAAGTCAGGTAGATTACACTTCCATAATCCCACGAACAGTCCCATTTTTGGAGGGTTAAACCATAATCATAAATATACTGTGTGGAGAAGTTATTTTAGGGGGTTCAACAATTGAATTTTGGTTTATCACAAGTAATTTAAGACAATTTCTCCACTCTGAAACCATATAAAATTTACAATGCAGGGCGCACTAGTGCATTTATTAACAATACCTGGTGGAATTCTAATAAAAATAAAGACTTAAACACCAAAGTCAGACTTCTGGGCAGAGTACAACTAGAACCTACTTTTCTTTTTGCTGAAATTGCATGCTTTAAATCATGAGAGTTGGCATGATTATGAATCACGATGTGTGACTGAAACAAAACATCCATTATCCATACATAAGTGGAAAGATATGGAATTATTCAGGCAAACCCCTGAAAGTACCCTTTGCACATGGCACACAGACAGTTACTACAGAGGTGGGAAGCTGATTCCCTCACAAGACAAACCATATTTAACTACTATTGTAAGCCATAGTGTGTTAATTTGGCTTACAATAGTAGCTAAAAAAAAAAAAAAAAAAAAAAAAAAAAAAAAAAAAAAAAAAAAAAAAAGGCAGGCAACAGTAGATCCACTATCTCTTGGACGTTTCACTTGTAAATCTAGGTTCTCAGTCTTAAAACAACATCCAGAAGGCCAGAAGGAAGCCTGTGACTGTGGCTGGGCTGTTCACTTTTCGGGGGTGCACACTGTCTGCAGTTGTTTATTTCCCTATTTATGTGTATTTCCCTGGTCTTGGAAGGCATTTGAGTCAGTCATCCTCAGCACATAAACATAATGGCTAAGAAACAGGATTATAATCAGGAAAAAAAAGTAACTATAGGAGATAGCCTAGCAAGTTTAAACAACAACAAAATAAACTTTCAATTAACTGTTATTAGCTCGCATCAGAATCTTTTAGGTCAAGAAACAGAAAAGGCTGCTTGATTTGGGTACACGAACCGGAAACATGAGGTCTCCACCTGCACAATCACTCAGTGTCAGCTGACTAAAAACTAAGCTGCAGAATCTGGAACTGTTGCCAACAAGAAGTACAGGTTGCAAGATAGCATCTATAGATCTATGACTCCAGAACAGCTAAAACCTGATGGAACAGGAAACTTGGTTGAGTCTCAGAATGGGTACGTGAAAAGATAACAAGTTAATCTTTAAATAAGCATAATGAGAAAGGATATGCTTTCATATATGAATCCTAATCTTCAAACCCAGCATGCAAAAGTAGGCATGATCACTTGTTTCACAGGCGGGCAAAGGGGCTCAGAGAGGTAAGCTACTCAAGGCCACAAGCGTCAGGCAGGGATTTGAAGCCAGCCCTGTCTAGCCTCAAGGCCCAGCATACCTTGCTGCTAGGACTGTAGAGGATGCCAATCTTGGTAAGTGATGATAATAAGCTTTTAATAAAATTGTTATAACCTATAGGAAGCAGGGAAAAGTAGTAATACTGGATGAAAAGATCTCAAATTGATGATGCTTTCATTTTATGGAAGGGCGCCTAACATTGTATCAAAGAAGCTGAGCTGTAACTAAGTTATAGTCATAGATTTAAACAGATTAATTGGCCTGTCTCTCAGGCCCAGGTCAGAGCCCACTTAGTCTATGTAGCATTCCTAACTCTCCCAGCTAGGAGGAAATCTTCCTTCTTCAGTACTTCCTCCTTCACTCACTCAGACCCCAACTCATCTGCCTAGCAGCTGCTACTGGAATTAAGTTACTTTCTTAAGTAGGTAAGATGCTTCCTAAAGCAAGTCTAAGAGATACTTTCTAGCTTACTGAGCGTGCATCATTTATTTTCTACCAAATGAGCAAAAACTTGTAGCAATTATATAAACTAAGCTGCAATAACTTTTGTTAGTTTCCTAACTTTGAAAAAAATTGAAGTCCTTAGTTTTCAAATTCACTCTTAGCCCACAAGTTTAAAATATGGGTAGGGCAAAAGAACAAAAAGTTCAAGTTCATTTTGAGTTTTAAATGCCAGCCAAATGGATGACATTTAAAATGTTAACAAACCAAACTCTCCTCAATTAAAGTATAATCACTTCATGATCTCATTAAGCAAATGAAACAGAAAAACATCAGAATATTTACCAAATGAGAAAGAAAACCAAATTTACTTTTCAATAGAATGTAATCATTGGAAGCCTCAGGAATTTCCTGAAGGTTTTTCAAACTCAAATTCATTGCCTTCTGATGTGCTCTTTCTCTGCAGTCACCTTGATCTTTCTACACTAGTCCTCAAAGAGATTCTTCAATCTTTTAGCTTTTTGTTAAACACCCTCACCACCTCAACACATTTATGTTTATTTCTGATTAGAGTCTGTCTATATGAGCACTCTGAATCGTAACTGCATCTTTAAAAGCCAAACTAGAGCTAAAATGGGGTTTGATGCAATAACCTAGATGATGGTGATAATGAAAAGTGATACATTAAGACAACGCTTTTCCAACATAAAGCATCTAAAGCCACAATAAATTATTTTAGGATTTCTAGATTTTATCCCCAACCTAAACTCCATTTTTGAATCCAAAGGATAAGATGAATGTAAAAAAGAAAATAATAAAACAGATGCCCTTCTGTACCACAACACTGATTCTAAGGATAAAATTGTGACCAGCTTTCTAACTTTGAATAGCATCTAGGCTATAAACCCAGAATTGCAGCAACAGCTAACATATTTAAGTACATTGCACACATATACAACTCCAAAAGCATATTTACCCAAAGAGCATTATAAATGGGTTGCAGACTGACCAATTCAAACTTGTGTAATTAACGTATGATCTTGGAAGTAGGGGAAAAACTACCCACTGAGCTCTATTCTCTGCAATACACAGGTCACAACACCCTAGAGGTGACTTTGCGATACTGTTTTCTTGATACCCATCAGTTATCCTTTTAAATAGGGGAGCAGAGGCCCAATAAAAATTCCTGACCACTTTGCAAGACACTCATATTTTAAATATACATCATTTTTACAAATGAAAATTAAAGTATCTTAGATTTCTATTGCTAAAAGGCTAAATTTTATCCTACTGGAATAAAAGTCACTAATCTCTCAGCTGTCGAATCCAGGACAAAGACACATATAAAAGACAAAAATAAAGGTCACTAATACACTAATATCTCTGAGCTGTGGAACCAAGGATAAAGACACATACAAAAGACTCCTATGTACTTTGCTTTATGTGTTAAATAGTGTTGCTAGGAATGCTCTGGACATAATAATCCAAGTCATTTAATGCAGTTTTAAACAAAGGTGAGGTGCTTTATGTTCATCTGAAATTAAGCCAATAAAAACAGAATTTTAACTGAGGTGATGTAAGTACTCAATACAATGCCGAGTATACAGCAGATGGTGAAATATCTGTGACAATGAAGCTTAAGAGTAAATACAAACTTAGGATTTAAGTCTTTAAATGGCACTTACCACTAGTGTAAAATAAAAATTTTCTTTTCTTTTTTTAAAAAACATTTTGATACTCTACCTTGAGGGTAAGAGTTTCAGGGAGCTTAGAATTTGTGGAATGGCTGGATATTTTATGAAATACTAATTTCTTAATATCTACTCCTAGAGGTAAAAACAGTGCATAATTAGGAAACAATACAGTTCTATAAGACTCAGAGCAGTTATAGGCAGTTCCCTGTTTAGGGAGGTTATACTTTGAGAAAGTTCCTTTGTCAGTTTCTGTGTAAATTAGAAAGAAGGAATTTCTCCTCTCAAACTATTTAACCCATCTGAAGAGAAGAAACCTACACTAAGTCTTTCAGGGACAATGAGCTGCAAGGTCCTACATTCCTCCCAGAGAGAGCATGAGGACTTTCCCCTCCTTACACCCTGAGAAGAATCTGTATCCGCGTGGTCAGGCCAAGGAGGGCAAGGCAGTGAAGGGCTTCCCAGGACCTAGTCCAGGTAGAGTATGTGTGCAAGACAGGGTCTCCAGTCCCCATATTGACATCTGGGGTTCAGGGTCAGCTCCTCCACTCCACTTTGCTGGCTCCCTTGCACTGGCCCAAGCAATAGTTTTGATTCTTTTGCTAGAACCACCTGCTGCTCCTCAGAGACTTAGTTTTCTCCTTACACTAACTCCTAAACAAGCCTGCAACCATTATAAGGACTAAGGCTCTAGTCAGAATTGATAACTAATCAGTTATCAGCAAGACTAATCAGCAAGACAGCCAAAAAACACTGTCTTGCTGCACATGCTCCCTACCCCCCACCCCCAGCACTAACCCCTTTGTCCTTTCATGCATTCCACAAAGCCCTGTGCTAAGCAGGTGCTGGGAATACTGTGAAGAGCCAGGCAGATGTGGCTCCTGTTCTCATGCTTACGCTGGGCTAGGCTGACTGTTAGTAACACGTTATTACAGAATTATCTGAACAAGTGCTCAAAATGACCAAAGAAGGGCTGTGCATATGTAACAGCAGAGTCTAATCCAGTCTAGAAGATCAGAAGGCTTCCCAAAGGAAGTGCCATTTAATTGTAAGTTGATTCCTGACATGGGGACTGGCTA